GACTTAAGACTGCTTTTGTGCTCCAGGGTCACATTTTAAGTCAAAATCATAATTTTATAAGAAAAATCACTGTTAAATATTTTTTATCAAATTGTGCAGCCCAACTTTGAACGCTGTCATCAGCAACCAGACACTAGTCACGTTAAAGCATGATTTTCAGTGATGTTAGAGAGTGTTTTATCATGTTGTTTCAGGGGAAGAGGGTTTTCGGCGAACGAAAGGACAGAAACCGGCCCGTGAGTCCAGCGAGGTTGAAGTCTTGCGTTGAGGAAGAGCTGGAGTCCAACAGCACTCAAGGAAAACAGCGACCTCAGTCAACAAAGAGAGACATGGAGGTGAGCAGAGGTTCTTGTCTGACAGCATGTGCCTCTTCATTTTATTTAATAGATTCAGACGGGACTGATCTTAAGAGCTGAGTGTGTGAATGTTCATCAGGGCTCTTGGCAGGAGTGACGTCACCTGATCACCAACATTCACGCCATTTCTCTGTTGTTTGTGTTTGTGTATTTTATCTCTGCCTGCTTTACTCTGCTGTTCAGAAGTTTGGGGTTGGTAAGATTTTGTAATGTTTTTGAAAGGAGTCTCTTCTGCTCACCAAGGCTGCATTTATTTGATCAAAAATACTGTAAAAATTGTGAAATATTATTACAATTCCAAATACCTGCTTTCTGTGTGAATATCTGTTAAACTGTAATTTATTTCTGTGACCAAAGCTGAATTTTCAGCATCATTACTCCAGTCTTCAGTGTCACATGATCTTCAGAAATCATTCTAATATGCTGATTTGCTGCTCGAGAAACATTTCTGATTATTATCAATGCTGAAAACAGTCGTGCTGCACAATATTCGGTGATACATTTTATTTTTCAGGATTCTTTGATGAATAGAAAGTTAAATAGAACAGTGTTTGTGAAATAGAAATCTTTTGTAACATTACAAATGTCTTTGGATGTCACTTTGGATGCAATTTTCAATGTATCCTTGATGAATAAAAGTATTAATTTCTTTAAAAAAAAAAAAAAAATGAAATAAAACTAAAATAAAATAAAACTTTAAAATTAAATATATATTTAAAAAATATAATGTTTTTTAACATTATAAATATATTTACTGTCACTTTTGATCAATTTAATGTGTCCTTGCTGAATAAAAGTATTAATTTCCTTACTTGAAATAAAACTAAACTAAAATATTAAAAACATTTTATTTAAAAACTAAATCTTTAATAAAAATGATTAAAAACTATATAGACGTAATAAAATTACCCCCAAAACGAATAAAAATGACAACTAAAACTTTCAAATTAAAATGCAAACTGAAAATATAAAATACCAATTCAACAGAAAATCCGAATTAAAAACGTTAAAACGCTAGTGTAAGAAACCCGAACCCAGAAGCGGTTGTTACAGCTGTAGTTTAGCGTCATGTCTGTGAGATTGTCACTGATGTGTGGGAATGTCAGGGTGTAGACACATGTGAAGTTACACCCAGCAGGGCTGAACTGTCTGGGAGGCAGCTGCTTCTGTCCTCTGAAGTCTGAAAGAGCGTATAATGCAGCCCATTGTGTGTCCGAGCCGAGGCTCTTTATCATCAGAGCTTTTGTCTGATCGAGCACACAGACTGAATGTGGATTCTCAGCAGCAGCGGCGTCTTAAGAAATATGAGCTCACTTAAAAACAGAGAGATGTGAGCCATAACTAGTGTTATTTTAGAATTATTCATATGCTGTTTTAGTATTTATTAATATTTTTAATTAGTGTTTTTTTTTATGTTTTCAGTTTTCATTTTAGTTTTAGTGATTCTTTTTTGTACTTTTTTTTGTTGAATTCTAATTTATTTTTATTACAATTTTAGTAATTTTTTTACTTAACATATTTTAATTCAGTTAGTTAGTAGGCAGCATTTCTAATTTTCAGTTAATTTAAATTTTTTTAAGTATAATTTAGTAATTTTTGTGTTTCGACTTACACAGTTGCCAACGCAGCATTTCTGATTTTTTTTTACGCTTTGCTAATTTTATTTTTTATTATAGTTTTTTTGTTAATATTTTATATTTAGCTATTAATTTATATTTAATTTAAGTTTTAGTCTTAGTAATTTTAAGCTTTGAATATATTTATATTTTATTATCCTTTAGCTTTACTTCAATTAACAAAAGTGTTTTAAGGTTTAATAGTTTTAGTAATTTTATTATGTGTTTTTGTCTTTTTGTTTTTGTTTTTATATTGCTATTTATCTTTAATTTATATTTGTCATAATATTTATTTAGCAATTTTAGTACCTCAACTTATTTTCATTTTATAATTAAAAAAATATGTATATTTAAATATTTAAAAAATATTTTAAATAATTTGTAAATATTTAATATAAAATTATTTAATATAATATTTATATTTTATTTTCCTTTAGATTTATTTTAATTAACCAAAGTGATTTTTTTATAGATTTAATACTTTCAGTTTTAGTAATTTTATTGTGTTTTTGTCTTTTTTCTTTTTATATTTCAATTTAGTTTTAATTTATATTTATTTCATTATATTTATTTTGTAATTTTAGCCCCTCAACTTATTGTCATTTTCTAATTTTTGTTTAAATCATTTAAGTTTTTAATATTTTTATTTTATTTTCCTTTAGTTTTATTTTAATCAACAAAAATGATTTTGAATATATTTGTAATAATTTTAATCAGTTTTTTTTTAATAGTTTCAAAGTTTTTTTTATCTAATATTTATGTTTTATTTTCCTTCAGTTTTATTTCAATTACCGAAAGCAATTTTTAATAGATTTAGTTAACTATAACAACACTGGCCATAACACTCTTGTTGCAGTGTGGTTGCTATGGAAGTCTGGGTGGTTGCTAGGTGCAAATTTAGAGTCTGTAATGTAACATTTTCAGAGTAAAACAGAATATTCAATGAGGAAAAAGTAGGAAAAGGCTTGATGTTATATATTAAGAATTGATTGGATGGTGTAAGTATGGCAGGTGGTTGATATATTCTGACTTCTGACTTTGTCGATTTCAAAAAGCAGTTTATGCCATATTTTGAACCAAAAGACTTATTTTAAGAAGCATTTCCTGTTATATTTCCTGGTTTGTCGTCACAGCAGATGTTCTCGCGGCTGACAGACTGATTTTAGTCGTGCTTTCACTGAGTCACAGATATACTGTATGTGGAAGGATTCTCCCATAATGCATCAGTGCAGATCGCAGCAGGCGTGAAATATGATTCCAGGAGAATTACATCATGACGCAGCCATAAACGCTGTGAGTTATCATCAGGAGGAGAGACTGATATAAAAGCAGGGCACTTGTGATGCAGCTTCTCTCTCTCTCTGTCTCTCTCTCTCTCTCTCTCTCTCTCTCTCTCAGAGTTCATTGTTTGTGATCATAATGAGCCGTGTGCTTTAATCCAATTAACATTTGGCCTCTCTTTCATCTGACTTAGGTTTATTATGCGGCGCAGTTTTGTGGCAGAATGTTTTGTCACAATAGTGTGTTTCTCTTCAGGACTGCGTTTATCAACTGGTTTTGCTTCAAGATCCAGATTTTCAGGAGCCAAAATAGTACCAGATTCGTTTACTGTACAAAAGTAAAGAGAAAGAACCTTAAAATCCAACATTGAAATAGCATGAGCATGAACTGCATAGACTTGATACTAACACCTTTGCATTAAGGTCTCATTGGTTAACATAAGTTAACCTTTGTTAATGTAAGTAAATAAATAAATGCTGTAGTATTGTTAATTGTTAATTCGTGTTATAAAACCTTTAAAATTTGACTGGCTCAACAGTATTCTATTTATACACACACACATATGTGTATATACAGTGGGTACGGAAAGTATTCAGACCCCCTTAAATTTTTCACTCTTTGTTATATTGCAGCCATTTGCTAAAATCATTTAAGTTAATTTTTTTTCCTCATTAATGTACACACAGCACCCCATCCATACAGAAAAACACAGAATTGTTGACATCTTTGCAGATTTATTAAAAAAGAAAAACTTACTTTCCGTACCCACTGTATATATATATATATATATAATAAAATAGATTTTATTTTTAATTAATTTTGATTTTTTTCTTACCTTGTGTAGTTTTATTAATGTTTTTTAGTGATGAAGGCATCACACCGAGGTTATTTTAGTATACTACTATAGTAATACTATAGTAAATATAGATTTGTACTATAGTATAGGTACTAATACTATAGTTCTTGTTAATATTTTGAAGTATTTTTTAGTTTTAGTAATTTTGTATTTTTGTCATTTTTATTGTTTTTCTTATTTGTATTATTATTTTATTTATTTTTTTTAAATATGTCTATATAGTAGGGGTGTGCGATATATATCGTCTGCGATAATATCGTAATTGTTGTTTTAACACTGTGCGATTTGACATTATCGAGTATATCACAAAAAACAAACAAAACACACCTGCAGAGCGCACGCGTACATTATGTGATGATGTCTAGTGCATGTTCTTTCACTGTATGAATCAGTCTATTAAAATTTATTTAGAATGATCACAAAATTCAAGATATGGGGGCAGAAAATGTATATATTTATATAATTTCATATTAATCAATTCTCCCAAAATCAGCATGATTACAAGTGACAATTAAGTGATACAGATTTTTTTTTTACAACAGTTCAATAAACAAGAAGTTAATCAAGATATTTACGTTTTAGACACCATATTGCCTGTTTTTGCCAACAAAAATAATTCCAAACAACTGAGCAATGTGACGGTGTTTTATTCCTGAATGAATCAACCGTTTAAATGATTCGGTTCAATCACAATGACTTGCTACTAGGGTTGGGAATCGAAAACCGATTCCGATTCCAGAATTGGATACTTGTCGTAGGCCTGGGCGATAAAACGGTATCGATATTTATCGACGGTACACCTTCTTCGATAACGATATAACAAAAGTTTAACCTATTTAATCTGCATATAAAACATTTGAAATTAGATATTTGTTTAATTTTTATTTTGTTTTTGACTGTTAAAACAAAAAAATTTGTTGTTTGTCTGTTAATTTAAAAATACAGTGGTTAAATGTAAAAAAGAAATTCTATTGCTCTGTTTTAAAAAAGGTTATAAAAAATTTCAATAATTATCGATACCGAACGATATGAAACATTATATCGTTGATACATTTTTTAGCTATATCGCCCAGCCCTAACTTGTCGTCAAATTAAAATTTAGATTATATCGATTCCTATGCGCTTTTTTCTTCATCTGCCAGGACCTTGCTTGCTAATCTAAGCGCTCCAAAGTTTGGCTACATTTGCAATCAGAACAATGTGACGGTGTTTTATTCCTGAATGAA